AAAGATTTATATATGAGAAGTCCTGTTTTGGTCACCGGAAAAGTTTCGGGTTTTATTGGTAATGTACCGGGACCACCGGGAGGGTCCCGGTGGTCCACCAAGTGGGGCCACAAGCCCCGGAGGGCTGCATGGGCCAAGTGTGGGAGGGGACCAGCCCCAGGTGGGCTGGTGCGCCCCCCACAAGGGCCCAAGGCGCCTAAGGGGAGGAGGGGGGCAAACCCTAAGGGCAGATGGGCCTTAGGGCCCATGCCTGGCGCGCCTCCCTCTCCCCTCCACCTGGCCGCCACCCAGATGGGATCTGGGGGCTGCCGCAACCCCTAGGGAGGGAACCCTAGGTGGGGGCGCAGCCCCTCCCCTTCCCCTATATATACTTGAGGTTTGGGCTGCCCAACACACATGAGTTCCTCTCCTTCTTGGCACAGCCCTACCCCTCTCCCTCCTCGTCTCTTGTGGTGCTTGGCGAAGCCCTGCTGGAGTACCACGCTCCTCCACCACCACCACGCCGTTGTGCTGCTGCTGGATGGAGTCTTCCTCAACCTCTCCCTCTCTCCTTGCTGGATCAAGGCATGGGAGACGTCATCGGGCTGTACGTGTGTTGAACGCGGAGGTGCCGTCCGTTCGGCACTAGGATCTCCGGTGATTTGGATCACGACGAGTATGACTCCTTCAACCCCGTTCTCTTGAACGCTTCCGCATAGCGATCTACAAGGGTATGTTCCCCAACACCCTCGTTGCTAGTTTCTCCATAGATAGATCTTGGTGACACGTAGGAAAATTTTGAATTTCTGCTACGTTCCCCAACACCCTTTATGGCGTGCAATGAGAGGACGGCTTTCACGCGATGTGCAGGTGCCGACTTGCCATGGACCTTTGGCGATCCATGGAGAAGGACTGGCCTATTCCAAAGGTGGAGACCATCAAGAATGATGGCCCAGAGTGGCTGTTCGCGCTACTAAACCCTCTGTCGGATACGGCGCGCATGGTCGTCCTTATGATCATGTGGCGGGCATGGTACATCCGCAATGAAATCACACACGACAAAGTCCCTCCGCCCACAGAAGCATCCAAGTGTTTCCTCCAAGGGCACATTAATTCTTTGTTGTGTATCCACCAGTTTCCACATGCAGATTTGGAGAAAGGAAAAATGGTGGTGCAAGAGGGAGGTCGGGCTGACTATGCCAGCGAGAGTAAGGCACAGCCGCTCCATTGGATACCTCCCCCAGCTGGCTGGACAGCAAAGCTGAATACCGATGGTAGCTTTGTACAGGCCACAGGGGCAGCAGGGGGAGGGATGGTCCTTAGAGATGATAGAGGGGAGCTCATTTTTACAGCTTGTAGGCAGCTGCTCACATGTGATAATAGCCTCCAAGCGGAGTTGGAAGCATGCAAGGAGGGACTGGAGTTGGCTTTGTACCATACCAACCTACCCATCTTGGTAGAGTTGGACTGCTCTGAAACGGTTTCGATGCTGTCGGCCAAGTCAGCGAACCGATCACAAGTGCGAGCACTAGTAGAGGATATAAGCAGGGTGATTACTGCTCAATCTAGGGAGATTTCATTTTCTCACATTAGTAGATCATAAAACAATGTCAGTCATGCACTAGCCGCGTATGGTCATAGTACCCCTCGTACGGCTGTGTGGTTGAGGTCGGGTTTAGACTGCATTGTAAACATTTCCGACGCCGAGAAGCCTCCGTGAGTTAATGAAATCTTCCTTTCCCCCGCAAAAAAAAGATTATCCATGTCATGAGCTTCTTATTTGCAAGAAATCACAAGAAAATACGAATCCTAGGGCCGACACAAACAACAGGAATATATACTGGTTAGACCTTCGAAAATCTATCATATTATACATAGAGCTAGTAGAGTACTGGCCCTTGTTGTCATACTGCCAAATCAAAGAGTCAGCCTCATCAGACAAAGTAATGCTACTAGTAACCTGCTCTAATTCATTTGGGGGGTGGGGGTCCTCTTGAAAGTCATTTTCAAAATGGATCATCCCAAACTTTAGAAGTAGAGTAAATTCCGGTTTTTACCCCCTATTTTGATATTTTTGACACTAATTACCCCATTTAGCCATATTTCATCCATTTTACCCAATTTAACAAAAGTTCTGCCACAATTTACCCTGTTTAAAATTTTGTGAGCATTCTGACCGACATGTCCCAATTGTCAGGTCCACTTGGCATCCCACATCGACCATTTTTTCCTGCCTATTTTCTTCCTGCTGGACCGGTCCTCCCAGCTTCTCCTTGACCGGGAACAGGACCAGCCCGATGGAGGTCGCTCACGTCGCATCCAACGCACAACGCCCGAGTCGGCCGTGGGCCACGCTTGCCTCCAGTCGGTTCTTGCTTGTGTTGCCTGTTCCCTATCGATTGCATCACCCGTCTAGGTTTCCAACCCACACACATGCTAGGCTCGCTCGAACCTTGGGTTGGGGATTGTCAGGCAGCGGTGATGATGACGGCGGTGGCGGCGATGAGTGCTGAGCGGCCGGCCATGCGATTTCATACCTCCTCGAGCAGGGTTGTATGGCCGCGGCATCCAAGCAAGAAATGACCCCGTGGAATCCGATGGCTCCGTCAAGCTCGCCGACGTTGGCATAGGCGCGTCCATGTACATGATCCCATCAGGCTGTGACCAGTTCATTTTACTACTTTGGCGACATAGCAGGGACCCCATGAGGATGTGCTCAGTTGATGGCGGGGCTATGGCGATGGCTGGTCCAACAAATTAGTGAGGTTGGTGAACAAACAATCCCTCTCAGTCGTACCCCATTCCACAAGATTTTGACCATATCTATCATAGCAATTTGTGTAGTCTGATATTTTCCCGACTCATGCATTAGCCGGCGAGGCGTTTCATTAGGACAGAATTAAGATGCTTATTGAAGATCATGTGTATACATGTCACCCTTCTGCAATGTGTAGGAGCTAAGAAAGGTGAAGACTGACAAGGTGTTTGTGCCGCTGCTTGTGTAGCCTGTCATTGCCACTGCCACTGTTTGGTGTATTCTGTAGTTTGTGTAGTTGTGAACTAGTGAAGCTATCTATAAATGGGAAGCATTATTCAATCATGTTTCGAACATGTGAATCCAGAGCAGTCTATAGCCTATATTAATCAGTTTTGACAGTAGTGTGAAGCAGAAATACGATCTTTTTGGCAAAAGAGAGATAATTTGACAGCATGATCCTTGAATAAGGAGACGAATTGACATCATGACCCAGGGAACAAATAGGCAGAAATAGTTGTCATAACACAAATTTTTCGCATTTTATTTCCATGATCTGTTGCAAATAATAGAGAAGGATCTATTTTATAAATAATAGGAGAATACCATCAACTCCAAAAAATAGACAGGGTAAATAGGCACAACACAATTGGACCTGCCGGTTAGAATGCTCACAAAAAATTAAATAGGGTAAATTATGGCAACATTTCTACTAAATAGGGTAAAATGGATGAAACCCTGCTAAATGGGGTAATTAGTGTCAAAAATGTCAAAATAGGGGGTAAAAACCGGAATTTACTCTTAGAAGTAACATGGGTTTTTTCATTACGAAGATTGTAGATGTCCCAAAATTGGACAACTAGAGGGGAAGGCCCAAATCATGTGTTCTCCCAAAACCTAATTTTGTTACCATCTTCACTACCCACCTATAGCCAAATTCAATAGCTTTGGCAACATGCAGCATCCCTTTCCAAAAGAGAGAAGTGTTAGCATAGGGGCAAGTGATGAAGTGAACAAATTAGGAGAGGAAATCTTATATTTAGCATCAATCACTTGTTTCTAGAGTTTACCATCAGCATTGATGTATCTCTCGTACCCAAGAGCCTAAGAGACACATATTATCTTTGCGCCTAGCAGAGTTTTGTTTATGCATTGTGCGCAACTGTGATGATTTTTGGCAATTTACACCTCTCGTTCAAACAGGGAATCCCTCTATAAACTTGAGCTAACAACACGTGTGGAGGTATGACCAACTCCTCTTGCATCATGTTGGCCAGCCCATTCATTAATGTCCATATAAACTGTTGTTGGAAAGAAAACAGCAATGACTCCGTGGCCCAATGGATAAGGCGCTGGTCTACGAAACCAGAGATTCTGGGTTCGATCCCCAGCGGAGTCGATTTTTATTGATAGTACACTAGTTTATACTATATATAAATTCCAGCTGCTTTTCCACTGAGGTATGCACGTTTGTTTCTCCGCATGCCTTTCATCTTAAAACCAGACTCTCCACTTTGATTATTGGCTTAATCCTATTTTGGTGCTTCCTACACTTGAATCAACGTTCTATTCCACAGAGCTGGGCCGAACTACCACACGACCCCCATTTCCATTACGGAAATGGAGTCAATCATACTGCATACTCCTACATACCAAGTCATACACATTTTTTGAAGAAACACCTACATCCTGAGATACTATAAACTGCACCTAGAGCAGAAGAAGAGAGAAACAGCACAAATACTGCATGCCAGGCTGAACTTGCAATCAGGATCTATGTACCGATCACCAAAGGTCTATTCTTATTTCTTCACCCTTTTTCTTAACATATTTCTTCACCCTTTATTTGTTGTAATATTTGCAACTCTTTTAACACAAGTACTGATTCACCACAAGAAAGGTTAATACAGCGAGAAGGTTTCATCACAGGTGTTACCACAAGAATTCCGCTGAATCTTTCCTGGCATAGCTGATAAAAGAGTTGCAAATTGCCTTGTCAATGATACCGAATGAGTCCATAAAAAGCTTATTGCGCAGGTTCTCAGTACAGAGAGATTAATACATAAGTACCACAAAACAAGGATGAGATCACGCACAGGCGTACATGACATGAGCCGAGTCAGATCCTGCTGACTCTACACTATATTAGGGCTAAGATATCCAACATAATTCAGATCTCAAAGCATCATCTAGACCCGGGAAGGCCAAGGAGAGCACCTGAAATGAGGACGTACTAGCCGGTCCCGACTAGAGCAGTCTACCATAATTAGATGAGTGCAATGCTGCTTTCGCCACCAGGTGGCTTCCGGACACCGCCGAGGTAGTCTCGCGAAGACGCCTTTCCATCAGAGAAGATGTCATTGCCGCTCATCTCCTTAAGCTTTGCTGAGCTCAGAGACTTGTCGGCTGAGCCAGGGGGAGCATCCTCGTTAAAGATGTTATTGCCTGTCAGCTCTTGGAACTTCTGGTTGTGAATTTTCTTTGCTGTCTTCGTTACAGGATCCTCACTGAACGTGATGTTGCTTGGACCTCCAGCAGGCTACAAAAAGGAATTTCAAGTCATGCAAATGCAGAGGTAGGATATTTATGCTAACAAGGTTAAGTGCTATCATGAAAATATTGTCATATGAGCAAATCATCAAATAAAATTGACATGCTTTTCTCTCTATGCAGACATCAGTCACTTATTACGAGTAGGGCAGTAGCTGCCTAGCTGGTGAAATGTACATGAAAAATTTATGCAACCGAATTTGAACATGCTTATAAGGTCAAGCTAGAAGTGGCTTCCAATGGTTTGTTTGAATTGAAGGCACCAGACAACGGTCGGTGCAACGGCTTCACGCTAATCACAGAGGGGGCAGCCTCAAGAGATTACAAATTAAACACACAAAACAGTGCATAATTCATGAATTATGTTGTGACGTCTTTGTGTTAGTAAAGCATTGGAGGGTCCATGTCCCCCTTTGGACTACACTAAGCTCCGTCACTGATTACAGTGTAGCATCTAACATGCAAGAAACAGAAGCATCTAATTAACATAATATCAAAGAATGCAAATCAGCACCATGCAAGCACGTCAAATGGTCGGCAAATGGGCTCTATTTTTTTTAGAAAAGGAGGATGACCCCCGGCCTCTGCATCTGGGCGATGCATACGGCCACTTTATTTTGTTGGTTACCTGGCTACTAACTCCAAAAGGAAACATAGTAAAATATATAATCAAAATGTCAACAGGAAGGCAATAGTATCAGGTAACTCACATTGGATACTTTCACTGATGTGTGCACGCTTCTTCGTTGTGGAAGTGCAAAATCTACATTTCCTTGTAGCTCCATATTACGAGCAGCCAGTGGCCTTGCAGGGGTCTCAGGAGGTGGACCAAAGATATTGCTTCCGCTGAGCTCCTTGTTCTTGGCTTCAGAAAGCTGCTTATTAATTTTAGCTTCAGCATCAGTCTCGAATGTGCCACTAAGCTCTCGCTGCTTAGCCACTTCAGGAATTGAGGATGGCTTCTTTGGAGAAACACTTCCATCAGCGCTAAATGAGATCTGACTTACTCCAGTTACAGTTTGCTGTAATGAAAAGGAGCATCAGCGACTGATATTGTCAGAAGAAATCAAAGTTTAATATTTAGTTCATCTCCACAAAAAAGAAAGAAAAAACAATCAGCAGATGTTGAAGGTTCCAAATATGAAAATACAGAAAGTAAAACTTTTTTTTGAGGGGTTACAGAAACTAAAACTTGACATAACAGGATATCTGTGGAGGCCCATTAAGTGCATTTTTCAAGTCTCAGATACCAAATAGCAGTTTGTGTTAACAGAAAATGCACAAAGTATGCCTTAACTTGGTACTCTACTACTCTACCAAGGAAAGAGTGACTGCCCATCAACACATATAAATATTAATAGCGCAAGGAACCATCAAAATAATACCAAGCGGAGAAACAGATACTCCCTACATATCACAAATACATGTCATAGGTCAAGCTTTTAAAACTTTGGCTATAAATATTGCCTCAAATATTTAGATTGAGGATCTGTAAATCGTATGTTTAGGTTTGCCTTGAAAAGTATATTTATAAAAAAAATTGTATTATACATATAATAGTATAGTAAAAATTAGTGGTCAAAGGTAAATCATGAAGACCGTTTCAGTAACCAAAACGACGTGTGTTTGTGATATTGAGTGAGTGTTCTCCAACCAAGTGGGGGAGATAACGAGATGTTTGTAAGCATGTTACATACCTGATACATCCTCACAGAAGTTCTGTTTGCAGGATTTGAAGACTCTGAATCACTATTCTCGTTCTTTTCAGCAAATATCCCACTCCCAGTCATTTCCTTCATCTTTGAACCGGACATCAATCTCCTTTCACTATAACAGATCAACAAGGTTAGACACTTGGCAAGAGTTCAGTACCTTACTCTCGAGCAACTATAACATATATCTTCTCGTTAAAAAAACTACAACATACATAAATAAGAGCTGCCTGGCTAATTATTTTACCACTGCAAGCAAAGCAGTTGCTTATGAGACTTCATTCTATGGCTTATAAACCAACGAAGCCAAAAAAAGACACACATCACATACCACTAACCACAAGAATATTGGTACTTTCAAGTTATCACCCGGACGATAGCAATCAGCCAATCACCACATTAGGAAAATTCATTTCTTCTTTGAAAATTTCAACTAGTACAATATATGTAGGAAACAAAAATATAACTCTTGTCATGCAATGCAAGCCTAGGTAATTTTGTGCAGAACCTTCAACACATGCAAGTGATAAATTTTGAAAGCAATGCTCACAGGAGTAGGCAAACTTAGAATATCCAGTTATCCACTATGGTTTTAATTTGGCTGCCATGGCAAAACTGACAAAATGATAGTCATACGGATTTGCTAATTCTCATCTAGATGAGAATTAACAAAGTCACATCTAACTCCTAAATCATTTGATTAATTAAAAAAATCCCCACGAATCTCCGCGTAAAATCAAATGGTGTGGGAGTCAGTGGTGGCGCTATGTGCTGTATATGATGTCAAGCGACATCACAAAAGTTGGATTAGCAGCAAAAATACACTTGCGTTTTACTTTTTTTTCGAACCGGGCTGAACCGATTGCAAATGAACGGAAATACAACAGTTCCAGAAACATTTCAGGAGGGGGGAAGAGGTAAAGCAAGTTCGAGCACTGCCAGTAAACCCACTGCGTTCGCCTGCCGTCGAGACGAACGCCATGGGGCGAAAACCTGAGCAGCACAACTCAACATCTCAGAGCTAAGTCTAATTATTACAGCCCAAAACAAAAGGAACAGAAGGCCAACAGGAACTTGCATTTTACTGTAGTTTGTCTACATATATGCACACATATATAGCCTCGACATCACTTGCTCTTACTCCTAGCACCGCCACTGGTGGGAGTTAGATGTGACTTTGTTAAGTCTCATCTAGATGAGAGTTAGCCACACTCATAGAGAACCCACACTCCAGAGAATTGACGGCATTGAACTTTTCAAAAATTACCAGTACTAATAACAGAGAAAATAGACGGTGACCTAGCCACGACCACATGCAGCAAGCCAGTACGCGGCATGACTATGCAAATTCAGCTAATTTCTAGATTTTTACTTTTCTTCCTTGTGGTGACGCCAGAATTTTGAATTTTGAATCACATATTTGTCATTTGCATCACTCAAATTATTTTAAGGCATCATTACGAGTATGGGTGCAATTTGGACCCTCGCACAATCGCAAATCCAGTGTAAAAATCGGCAACGCTACAAATTTGGACAGAATCAGCATCGCATGTTTACATAGTGCGTCCACTGATGAACCAATCGTCTGCGAGCGACTGCTCTGGCCGTTGCTAAACCCAGAGCAGTCCAGCAAATCGTTGGAAGCTCGCGACATCGATCGGTCAAACCCCACATACAAGCAGAGCATACATTACAACTAGATCAGATCAGGGCAATCAAAGCAAATACGCAGTAGGGAACCACAGATCGAGCAGATCAGAGCGGAATGCGGCATGGGGAGGCCCCAGATCTCACCTGTTGCTCAGATCCTCGGCCTCGTGCTCGCTCACCGGCGCGCCGAACATGGCCGGCGTGATCCCCCCAGCCGGCTGCACAAACAAGCACAGCAGCAGTGAAGCCCGAGGTCAGTCGCATCGCACAGGGGACAGCAGAACGGCTCTGTGCATAGGCAGTAACACGGCGAGGCGGAGCCCCGGGCGCACGCTGCTTACCTTGAGGCTGGGGCGGGACGGGGCGGCCGGCGAGGCGGCGGAGGCGTCGGCGCCCGTCGCCGACCACGTGAGCAGGTCGGCCGTCGAGGTGTGCGGGCTCCGCACCGGCGTCGCCCTCTCCATTGCTCCCGAGCGGTGCTGCCTCCCGTGCTCTATCGCCTCTTCTCGCTCGCTCGGGTAAGCCGGGGTTGGGTCCTCGCGGTGCTGCTGCGTGGCGTGGGGTACGACGGTACTAGTAGTAGGAGTAACACCCATCCATTTCCCGTCCGCGTCACGGAACAGTCACATCGCCGTCGCTGACATGTGGGCCATGAAATCTACGGAGCCACTTGTCGGTGGGTTGTGGGTCAGAGTAGAACGGGAGACTGGGGGAGCAGGAGATCCGGGGATCTGTGCGCCGCACGGCTGTGAGCCTGGTTGGGTACGTGCTGGACGGTGGGTTGTTGAGCGCTGGGAGGTGACCGGTGTGCCGGTGTAGTGGATCCTCTGCCTTGGCGAGGGCCGGTGGGCACGTGCCTTGCCATTTCGCCCCACTCACCGTCCCACCGTGCAAAGTTACGCTCATCCACCGAGACTCCGAGAGCAGAGTGACCAGGTGAAAACTAGAGGTGATTTTTTTTTTTGGCGGGGGAAAACGAGAGGTGATTGACGCTCGCTCAAGCAAAGCCACGACGCTGATGCTAACCAGGGCCTCACGACTAACCAGGACGCGACTGAGAATAAAGGCTTATTCGGCGCGGGATATACAGAAATACTCTCTTTGTCTCATAATATAAGAGCATTTTTCACATTAGTGTAGTGTCAAAAACGCTATTATATTATAGGACGGAGGGAGTAGAAAGGAAAACATGCAAGAGCAAAAAATAAGAACGAAGGAGTAAGATAGATGATTGGAAAGCATAATTTTTAACCTGCAAACCGTAGAACAACTGTTCTAAGGTAGTTTTCATGTAATTGTAAACAGTATTTTACAAAGTGAGAGGAATGCAAAAAAAGAATAAAAGAATCGAAACTAAAATAAAGGTTAACCAATGCCTGCTCTAGGAAAGGAAAACATGCTTATAATCATAAGTATTGATCATCCATTGGTGAAAAGAGTTTGCAGGCTTATCTTTTATTTTGAATTGAAGCAGCTGGATGACTGCTTTGAGGAAGTATCTCCAAGCCTGAATGGTTGGTTGTATGGCTCTAAAAACCTGCACATTCCTTTGAATCCAAATATTCCAGCATCCTACTATGACAATTTCCATGCTGAAAGATTTTGGCAAATGATGAGCAGCTAGCATTGTGTATTCATAATTAGATGTTCCCCTCTTTTTATAGGGAATCAATAATGCCAATATTCTTGTGCAAGATCGCAGTCCCATAATAGATGCATGGTAGTTTTCTTAGTATTTTTATTGTAGTTTGGGCAGAAGTGATGTCCAGATGCATACCTTTTCTTTGCAGTAAAGTAAAGATCTAGTGTTAATTCCGCACTGAGTTTTTTCAAGGGATGCGTCAAAGGTTGACGCATCAGGATCATAGATAGAATAGGTGGCCAAAAGAGAAGGCCATTGTTGTTAGTACAACCAACCCTACGGCTGCTAGAGCTCTAAAGAATCCACATGCGGATTACTCGCTCTCGTCCCACCTATCTACCATACAAATGACTGAGCCACGTTCACGTAGTAGGCCAGCCGCCCTCCAATCCTGTGCCTCTAACTCAATCTTAACAAGCACGCCGTTCACCGATGGCGATGCTCCATTGAAGACAATGTCGTTTCGGTGCTTCCACAATATCCATAGCATCAGTGTTATCATCGTCCACGCCTCCTTCCGGGATTGCTTTTGAGGATTGAGTGTTGTCCACCATTCAACTAGCTTTGAATCAGCGGATGGCGTCCACTCCGGTCTACCCCAAGTGTTCATGATCTTGGCCCATACCAGTCGTGCTAGAACGCATCCGAGAAGCAAGTGATTCAATGTCTCCGGCAGTTGATCACAGAAAGGGCATGCCGACGGGTGCGGCAGCTGCCGTCGCTGAAGCCTATCTACCGTCCAGCATCTCTTTCTTGCCGCGAGCCACGTGAAAAACTTGCATGTGGAGGGAGGGGGATATCTCCATATCTGCACCGCTCCCGCGTTCTCTGTTCTTCCCGCAAAGTGGGCATGATATGCCGATTGCGCTGAGAATTGCCCTGTGCTCTCCCAAGTCCAAGCTATGTCATCATCAATGCCCTGCTGCAGGTCCACATGCTGAGTTATGTCCACCAGCGCAATGAACTCGAGAAGGGCTTGTGCGCCCATGTCCGGGGACACATCTTGCCACCATCCGACTGAGAGGGCCTGCTTGACTGTGAGTAACCAACTAGAAGATCTTGTGTCTAAAGCTGCTAGAGTTTTTTTTCTCTCTCTCTCACACACACACACACACATCAGGTGTTTGTACATGAGCATGGAGGAGTATTTGTCTGATTTACCCTTGCAAATCCATTTGCCTTCCCTAGTTTTGTCTAGGTCAAGGATGATACTGTTGGGAATCGTTGCATGGAAAACAAAAAAATTATACACACACGCAATGATCTATCCATGGAGATGCATAGCAACAAGGGGGGAGTGTATCTACGTATCCTCATAGACCGTAAGCGGAAGCATTTGACAATAAAGTTGATGTAGTCGAATTTCTTCGCGCTTCAACTGATCAAGTACCGAACGCACGGCACCTCCACGTTCTGCACACGTTCAACTCGATGACGTCCCTCACCTTCTTGATCTAGCAAGACGTCGAGGTAGTAGATGAGTTCCGTCGGCACGACGGCCTGTTGACGGTGATGGTGAAGTGATTTTCGTAGGGCTTCGCCTGCCTAAGCACTACAAAAATATGACCGGGGGTGTAAACAGTGGAGGGGGGCGCCACACACGGCTAACAATTGTCTGGGGCGTGCTAGGCGCCCCCCTCCCACATATATATAGGTGGGAGGGGGAGGGAAGAGGCCAAGGGGCTCCCCAAGTAGGATCGAATCCTACTTCGGCTCCTCCCAAGCCGCGCGCCCCCTGCCATATTTGTCGGAGGGGGAAGGAAAGAGGGGGGAGGGAAGGAAGGAGGAATCCTATTCCACTCTTTCCTTTTCCTTTCCCCTATTTCCTTCTCCTCTTAGGGCCGGCCCATATGGGGCGGCGCACCAGCCCCTTGTGGCTGGTGTGTTTCCCCTCTTGGCCCATAAGGCCCATATCTTTTTCCGGGGGTGCCCGAAACCCCTTCCGTTGACCCGATAAGTACCCGGTACCCCCCAAAACACTTTCGGTGTCCGAATACCATCGTCCTATATATCAATCTTTACCTCTCAGCCATTTTGAGACTCCTCGTCGTGTTCGTGATCTCATCCAGGACTCCGAACAACATTCGGTCACCAAATCACATAACTCATATAATATTATATCGTCATCGAACATTAAGCGTGCGGACCCTATGGGTTCGAGAACTATGTAGACATGACTGAGACACCTCTTCGGTTAATAACCAATAGCGGAACCTGGATGCCCATATTGGATCCTACATATTCTATGAAGATCTTTATCGGTCGAACCGTTATGACAACATATGTAATTCCCTTTGTCCATCGGTATGTTACTTGCCCGAGATTTGGTCGTCGGTATCTTCATACCTAGTTCAAGCTCGTTACCAGCAAGTCTCTTTACTCGTTCCGTAATACATCACCTCGTGACTAACTCCTTTGTTGTTTGCTTGCAAGCTTATGATGTGTATTACCGAGAGGGCCCGGAGATACCTCTTTGATACTCAGAGTGACAAATCCTAATCTCGATCAATGCCAACTCAACAAACACCTTCGGAGATACCTGTAGAGCATATTTATGATCACCCAGTTACGTTGTGACGTTTGATGGCACACAAGGTATTCCTAGGGTATCCGGGAGTTTCATAATCTCATAGTCGAAGGAATAAGTATTTGACATGAAGAAAGCAGTAGCAATAAATTGAATGATCATTATGCTAAGCTAACGGATGGGTCGTGTCCATCACATCATTCTCCTAATGATGTGATCCCGTTATCAAATGACAACTATCAATGGTAAGGAAATCTTAACCAACTTTGATCAACGAGCTAGTCTAGTAGAGGCTCACTAGGGACACAATGTTTGTTTATGTATTCACACATGTATTAAGGTTTCCAATCAATACAATTCTAGCATGAATAATAAACCTTTATCATGAATAAGGAAATATAAAATAACAACTTTATTATTGCCTCTATGGCATATTTCCTCCAGTCTCCCACTTGCACTAGAGTCAATAATCTAGATCACATCGTCATGTGATTAACACCCAGAGTTCACATCACCATGTGAGCAATACCCAAAGAGTTTACTAGAGTCAAATAATCTATTTCACATCGCCATGTGATTAATACGCAAAGAGTATTAAGGTGTGATCATGTTTTGCTTGTGAGAGAGGTTTAGTCAACGGGTCTGTCACATTCAGATCCATTTGTATTTTGCAAATTTCTATGTCTACAATGCTCTGCATGGAGCTACTCTAGCTAATTGCTCCCACTTTCAATACGCATCTAGATTGATACTCAGAGTTATCTGGATTAGTTTCAAAGCTTGCGTCGGCATAACCCTTTACGACGAACTCTTTATCACCTCCATAACTAAGAAACATTTCCTTATTACTTTAAGGTTAATTTTGCCCGATGTCCAATGATCCACTCCTAGATCACTCTTGTACCCCCTTGGCAGACACGTGGCAAGGCACACATTAGGTCTGGTACACAACATGACATGCTTTATAGAACCTATGGCTAAGGCATAGGGAATGACTTTCATTCTCTCTCTATTTTTATGTCATGGTCAGGCTTTGAGTCTTACTCAACTTCATACCTTACAACTCAGGCAAGAACTCCTTCTTTGACTGATCCAGTTTGAGCTTCTTCAAAACTTAATCAAGGTATGTGTTATGTGAAAGTCCTATTAAGCGTCTTGATCTATCTCTATAGATCTTGATGCCCAATATGTAAGCAGCTTCACCGAGGTATTTCTTTGACAAAAAACTCCTTTCAAACACCCTTTATGCTTTCGAGAAAATTCTACATCATTTCCGATCAACAATATGTCATCCACATATACTTATCAGAGATGTTGTAGTGCTCCCACTCGCTTTCTTGTAAATACAGGTTTCAGTGTAAGTCCGTATAAAACCATATGCTTTGATCTCCTCACCAAAGTGTATATTCCAACTCTGAGATGCTTGC